AAACTAAAAAGCACAGGGATCCCGCACGAATGACATACAATTCTTTGTTCCCCCCCAAGTCAAGAAACTTACAGCCAGTAAAACCAGTTTTCACAAGTAAAACCAGGTTTCCAACAATAAAACTAGTTCGAATAACCTGCATTACATTCTACAGTCAAACATGTATAAAGACTTAAAAAAAACACAACAACAACAACAACTAAACCAAATATACTACGTGCTTAGATATGGGACGTGATTAAACACAAATGTTTTGTTAAACTCATGTTAAGACATAAGCTACCTTCGGACGACCATGTATTTACGTCTTCTTCGAATGATTATTCCGGTCAACATAGTTGATTTTTGTGCGTGACTTGTGCAAAGACGCGACGTCATTTGTCCCAGCACTGTCCCAGGTTGTGACTCGTTGATCTTTGGACACTAAGCTCTGAGTTTCCAGTGAACATGTATATGCCCGTTCCTTCCTACTGGTGGGGTAATAGTGATTTCTCTCTCCATCCAATGCAACTTATCCTCAGCCGGTAAAAGCAATCCCTTTTCACAAGTTGATGACAAAATTGCTAACATGAAACATCACTCATCAGGGTTCATCATGCATTTCAAGATTACGAACTCCTGGGATCTCCAAACGTACGTTCCAAAAAATCTTAGGATAGAAAAAGCAGACTCCAATTTTTTTCCTTCACCGCTACACTCTGCTTTTATTTCTGAATTGTGAAAATGTGCATGATTAAAAAAGATATATACGTTTTTCGTCGACATAATTACTGTCCACGGTACTAAAGATCGACACCAATTTACCAAATGACAAGAAATATGCATAACCCATCTTTGATTTTCATCAAGAATCAAGTAAACAAATGGAGAGCATAAAACTATCCTCTATAAATAATTTCTATCCTGAATATAAATAGCATCTTTTTTAGGCCTGACCTCAGAACAGCTATGGTGTGATTATATAATGAGTCACGACGTTGYCGGAAAGCTCTAGTGCTTCGCGTGACACTTCATTTGAACTGACATGAAACAATTAATTCGTAAAACCAAACCTTTTAATAAGTTCTTTCAACAACTGCGTTTTTGTTGTATGATTATCCCCAAAGTTAGTTAGTTTTTGTGTTTGAACGATGCAACGCAGTGACGTCATTGCGGAAGGACACCGTCTGCAATGATTGTCACTCGATATGTTTCGGACTCTTTCGAAAATGTCTGTGGTCGTTCTATTTCTTGCTCTCGTGGTATCATTAGCTCCTTTTGTCAACTCTGTCACATGGACATCTGAAGTGAAGATCATTAGTGGGAAACTTCGAGGCTACGTTAGAGTAGTAAACAACACTGGCGGGCTCAAAGTCAGAGGATACCTTGGAATACCGTTTGCACAGGCAAAACGATTTGAGCCCCCAGAGCCTCGAAAATCATGGGACGGTGTTAAAGACATGGTAACATTGGGAAAATCTTGCCCTCAAATGCTAACTCCATTTGGGGTATCGAGGGTGGAAGATTTGAGCGAAAATTGTTTAAACCTTAATGTATATGTCCCTGACGACACAAGTAGCTCATCACCTTTGCCCGTCATGGTGTGGATCTACGGCGGTGGGTTTATTGTGGGTTCCAATCGTATATATGATGGTACCTACCTCGCAACACTTGGAAAAGTAGTCGTTGTAGTCATCAACTATCGCCTGTCGGTTTTCGGGTTTTTAGCCAATGGTAAAGACGGTGATATCAAGGGTAACTATGGTATGTTGGATCAGATTGAGGCACTGAAATGGGTCCAGAGAAACATAGCAGCGTATGTACATACAT